ACTGGGGCAGCAGCACGCTTCGCTTCGCATCGTACTCCGCCCGGTTCGCAAAGACTGTGAGATCGGACGCAGCAATCCCTGCTAGGTGGCTGTCTCTGAGCTTCTCCTTCACCGCATCCCGCAACGTATCCACATCTTCAACATCCACCCCGACAGAAGTCGTCGATGTGAGATCCTTGCCGTTCTCGCCCACGAGCAGGAACCATTTCCGCGCCACCATCCCTTCTACGCGAGGCGCACTAACGAAGTAACGTGAGACAGCTGGTACATCAAATTGACACAAACTTTACATAGAACTACACAACGCTAAACGAATCGACCAATTAAAGACCAGGACGATCGAAGACGAACCAAACGTGACCCGTGTGACAGTATCGTTGTTTAAATCAATCGAGACGGATATACATGATGCCCCATGATTCATGGGGCACGGGTTGGCGATGGATGCAATCGACGCGTTATTGAGCGGCAATTGACGTATGCGCTAGCTGACAAGCGGATGCCAACGAAGACCAAAGGATTTAAGGAAGAAAGGTGCTCTAGCGGTAATGATCAAGGGAAGTGATTTCTGTATCAGCCTGCAGACGGGTCTCCGTCCGAAGATGCATTTCTGTGTCTGGAAGATGCGACGAAGGGCTTCTTTCACGAGGTTCATCAGTGTAAATGCGTCGAAGGGAATCTATCACTGGACGTTTTCGAGCAAGAGCGGTTGAAGGCTGCTGGTCCCGACGACCTATTCATCTTATATTGCACGAGCCTAGTGACGGTTGACCTATGGTTGCTGCCGAACTCCGCATTTGTTGATGCCACCTGCTGGGAAGCGTACTACGGTCCATTTGCTGCTCGTGCACACTTCATCAAGTCTGTTCCGTTACCGTGCATCAACACGAGCTCCGAGGTTCAGCTGGAGTTCGTGGAGGGTGTAGGCCCGGCCTACCGTGCCCGAATCGCGAAGAAGCGTCCATTTACGAGCTTGGAAGATGCTTTTGCGAAGACCAAGATTCCAGTCAAGGTTCTTAGACGATTTAATTTCAACACGGATTCGCGTTAGCCCCATCTCGGCCATGGGGTGATACTTCCTTTCGATCAATTGTACCTGTAATTCTGAACTATGAGTCTTTAACAAACCTGTTCGAGAGATTAGTTTGGCATTAATGAAGTATCGCTTGGAGGCTTCTTGCATTGCATGCGTAGTCCTTACAGCAATCCTTCGTATGTTTGTTTCCACAGTGTGTGCAGATTTTCATCTCGACATATGCGATTTTACTATGAGCGCGCTCGATCTCTTGCGGCTTTAACTGTTCC